AAATTGTTTCACCTTTCGTTAACAAATCCGCAACTTGTTCTTTGCTTCGATAATATTCTAATCTCAGCTAGCCTGCACACACTAGATCCCTCAAGTAATGGAACCTCGTCTCAATATGCTTGCTCCTCCCACGTGCAATGTAATTCTTAGCAAGATTAATACTTGAAACATTATCAACCAAGATGTGACAGCTTCTTTAATCTTGCTTCCCAACTCTTCCAGCAGATTCACAAGCCACACAGCCTGACACGCAGACAACGATACAACGATATACTCGGTCTCGTAAGAAGAGAGTGCCACCACAGGTTCCTTTTAGAACACCAAGAGATTAGATCTCCTCCGAACATAAGATATAACCAGCCGTAGACTTTCGATCGTCCTTATCTTTGTACCAATTGGAATCCGTGTAGTTGTGCAACTTGCATTTTCTACCTGTATCAGCTGCGGGAAAGAGAATTCCACAGCCAATAGTTCCTTTTATGTATCTTAGGATCCTCTTAACTGCTGTCAAGTGAAACACCTTTGGTTTCTCCATGAATCTACTCACAATACTGATATTAAACGCCAAATCTGGCCACGTATTACACAAGTAACGTAACGATCCAATCAATCTTCTATATTGCTTTGGATCCATGTTCTTCTCATCATCACTTTTGGACAGCTGCATCCTCTCTTTAGCAGGTGTATTGGCAGCATGACAATGCTCCATATCACACCTTTTCAAAATCTCAAGGGCATACTTTCTTTGATGCATGAGCAGTCATGATTCTAATAAAGTAAGTCATGATTTCAAGGTCACTCATTTCAAACTCATCTATAAGTTCAATCTTAAACTTAGAAATACTCACTTCATTATTTCCCGTGATCAATAGATCATCCATATATAAGCAAAGTATGATCACATCTTTGCTTGCATCCGTCTTCACATAGACACCATGTTCGAAAACACATTTCTTGAAGCTAACGTTAACTAGGAAACCATCAATATGTTTGTTCCAACCTTTAGGACCTTGTTTCAAACCATAAAGCACTTTCTTCAATTTGTAGACCTTTCCCTCATGATTTATCACAACAAAACTAGAGGGTTGTTCTACATAAACTTTCCCCTTTAAAGGACCATTCAAAAACGTGGATTTCACGTCTATTTGATACAACGACCAATTGTTCCTATTCACAATACCAACAACCAGTCATATGGTTTCTATCCTAGCAACCGGCGTAAACACCTCATCATAGTCTATACCTTCACTTTGCAAAAATTCATTCGCTACTAGTCGAGCCTTATGCTTGACAATTTTGCCTTTTGGATTTGTCTTCACTTTATAGACCCATCTCACACCGATTTGCTTCTTTCGTTCCAGTAGATCAACCAGCTCCCAAGTATTATTTTTCTCAATCAATTTCAGCTCCTCTTTCATCGCACACACCCACTTTGGATCGCTTATTGCCTCTTTCGTGCTAACAGGCCCAGATTCGGCCATAAGCACAAAGTGAATGAGATCACTATCATTATTGATCTCATTATCTCGGAATACCTCACAATATTGGAACCTCTGAGGCAAGCCTCTTCTCCTAGTTGGTCGTCTATTGTTGTCTCCAATTTCGACTTCGACCGACTGCTGGGTTGGACCTGCAGAATCCTGGAAATTTTGATTTTCCTACTGAAAATCAATTTCTGCATATGGGAAATTGGTTTCTGGTTCTGCATAAATAGTCCTAGGAGCCTCAAAATGCAAAAATCGCGACGGAAATCAATTTCTCTCATCCTGGAAATCAATTTCCACGCCTGTCAAGCCCGTTTTCTACTGTCAAACAGCCTTACCTCATCTTAACTAATTACAATTTTCTTGCTTTTCACATCAAACAATTTTTAACCTCCGGTAGGATGATAACCAACAAGCAACATCATCTCTTCTTTGTCATCCAACTTCTTTCGAAGCTGACCTGGAATATGTCGAAATGCCACCGAACCGAAAACTTTCAAATGACTTAAACTTGGTTTAAATCTATATCATACCTTTTCTAGAGTTACCTTCTCCAGCTTCTTTGTAGGGCACATATTCAACAAGTAGGCGGCTGTAGAAACAACTTCTTCCCATAGTTCTTTCAGCTAGCTTTTTCCCTTCAACATGCTACGAACCATGTTCATTATCGAACGATTTTTCCTCTCTGCAACACCATTTTGCTGAGGCATATAGAGTGGCACAACCTCACGCACTATACCATTCTCATCATAATAATTCCCAAACTCATTCGAGGTATACTCACCTCCGCCATCCGTTTTGAGAATTTTAATTTTGTGACCACTTTGCCGCTCAACCATGTACTTGAACTTCTTAAACAAATCAAATACATCATCCTTCTTATTCATTCGATATGTCCATAATTTCCTACTAAAATCATCGATAATGAGACAAAGTACCTATTACCACCATACGTGTCGACTTGCATTGGACCACACACGTTGGAGTATACCATCTCAAGGTGATGTTTGGTCATATGACCTGTATCCTTGATGAAACTACTATTGTGTTGCTTCCCCTGAACACACATTTCACATATCTCACCTATAATATTGATGTTCGGCAACCCAGTTACCATACCATTCCTTTGTAACGCGTCAAGGTCTCGAAAATTGAGATGTCCAAGACAATAGTGCCGCAATAGCAAAACACTTTTTCTCTGTAACTTTCAGCTCTATCTTGAAATTCTGACTGGCAACCATGGGTGCTTTAAGGACTAAAACTCCATTTCGGTCTAAAACACGCAAAATCTTGTTTTCCATGCGAATCATGTAATTCTTCTCAAGTAATTGGCTAATACTCAAGAGATTATATTTAATTCCAGGAATGTATAACACATATTTTATCAAGGAATGACCTTCATCTATTCTCATGATCAAAACAACACCGACCCCGTCGATCGCTAAAGTGGCGTCATCCGCGAATTTCATCTTATTCTCCGTGGCTTGATTGATTTTGATAAACTAATCCTTTCTACACGTCATATGTGTTTAACAACCGCAATCCAAGTACCACTCATCAATGCCTTAGACCCCATCTCGAACCGTTACCATTACGTTTTGCTCTGAATGCGTTTCTGCATCATTTATCGAAATGTTGATATTGTTGTCCAACCACTTACAGCTGCTACTACATCTGTCCAGCAACTTATTCCTGCCATAATTCTCCTCTATGATCATGAACAGAAGCGTGTTATCATCATCCACCTCCTGTCGAGCAACCTTAGCCTCATCGCTTTGATTTTCCCTTGATTTTGCATTACATTCTTTTGCAAAATGACCAAATCTATGGCAATTATAACACTTCACATTACTCTTGTCAAACTTCTTGATATAGTTGATTTGACCCCTATCTTTGGATCCGCTCTCACCACTTTGCACCATCGAAGCCTTTAAGTTTTGTGGATCTTTTCCACCAAAATTTTGAAAATTTGTCTTCCCTTTCGAATACAATTTTCTTTTCGATCTTTTAATCTTCTCATTGAATTGTGCTTGCAACATAATCTCTGCTTTGGATTTATCATTTCCCCTTTCATCCATCCTTTGTTCATGAGCCTCAAGAGAGCTTTGAAGCTTCTCCTTGCTCAATGTCGGGAGGTCATTTGATTCTTCGATTGCAACCACAATATTGTTGAATCTTAATGTTAAAAACATAAGATCTTTGATACAACATTCTGCTCCAAAATAGTTTCACCGTAAGATTTCATTTGATTCACCAAACGTGTAATGCGTGTTATGTAGTCATTGAACGACTCATTCTCTTCCATTTGAACCAATTCAAACTGTCGCTTGTGAGTTTGTAACCTCACCATATTTGTTCTTGCGTAGAACAAGCCCCTTCATTAGTTTTCTTCAAGATCTCCCATGCTTGCTTCGCCAAATCACAATCGCCAATTTTTTCGAAATTGTCATTGTCGACACAAGAATGAATCAAGAAGAGTGCCTCGTAAGCTTTCTTCTTCTCTTCCTTGAATGCAACCTTCTGAGCCTCTATAGCTGCTGCCACAAGTAGTGTAACACCATTGTTAACCACTTCAAGAACGTCTTGATACCCAAACAAAAATTTCATTTGTTTGCATCATTTATCATAATTCTTTGAATCAAGGGTTGGAAGATTATTTGAAACTCGATCATTGGAAACTGTACATCTTTGCAGTTGATTAATGGATCGGAACCAGGCTTTTGATGCCGAATGTTGGAACAAGTACAAAGCTTGAAGGGTGAATCAATGGTGAAATATGGTTAGTTGGAGAAGATGAAGTGAATTTAGAGATATTGAGAGAGAGAGAGAGAGAGAGAGAGAAAGAGAGAGAGAGAGAGAGAGAGAGAGAGAGAGAGAGAGAGAGAGAGAGAGAGAGAGAGAGAGAGAGAGAGAGAGAGAGAGAGAGAGAGAGAGAGAGAGAGAGAGAGAGTAATGAAGGAGAAATATTCACAATGGCATTAGATTGACCAACATTACACGAGGGAGTATTTATAGGATACAAAAAATTACAAATTGGAACTAAAACATGCCAAAAAAACAACTAAAAAACAATTAAAAACACAAAACACAGAGCGAAAATCGATTTCCCAAACTAAAAACTGAAAATAGAAAGTTGGAAAACTGAACTAAGCTGCGAAAATCGATTTCCCTAATTCTGAAAATTGATTTCCTCTTTGATATTTCAAATTTCTAGATTTCCAAAAGTATTTTTTTATTAAATTGTTTTCAACGAAACGATCTCAAAAACTTCCACAACATATTTAAATTATTAAGGACTTCTAATATTTTTTCTACTAAAATATATATTTCCGACGAGTCAAAACTACTTTATATTATTTTTTTAATTATTATTATATTATATTTATTTATTATTTAAAACCACATTGTGTGTGACCCGTGCAAATGTAAGAAAACCTAGATTGGCTATCAAAATTGAAAAGAAAAAAAAAAGTAGAAATATTATCAAGGAGAAGAAAAGAAAGGCTGAGAAGACAGATGAACCCTCAAAAGGATAAAACAAAACAAAATCAACGTTATCTTCCTGAAAACCAAAGGTAATGCTTTGTTCAGCTTCACCTACCAATATGCCATTTCTTCTTCTTCAACCTTGTAAGTCTTCCTTATTCTTTACCTGCAACTCCGTCATTTTCAGCAAGAAGCCACTAACAAACTCAACCAAACAAGTATCTCTAACTCCCCACAAATTTTGTTATTTTCCCAATATTATTCTTTCCACTCCTCATGGTTCAATGGTTACTAAGAAAGTTTCGAATTTGAGTGGTGCCCACTTCAAGTTTTGCTCTAGGAATAGTGGGTTTGATGGGGTTTCCAGTGATGTATCTCGAGAAGCCGTTGATGAGGAAATTCAAGAGCTTGAAGGCATTAAGTTGTTGAAAAAGCCTTCACCTGCTTTAAAAGTTGATATTGAGCAAGAGAAGCCTTCGGAAGAGGAGCCTTTAGCATCGTTTTTCGAGATTTTCCAAAGGGGTGAGGATTATGTGAAAGAAGTTGAAGAAGATAATGAGGTAGTGGAAGCTTCTGAGGAAAAAGATAATGTGAGTGATGAGAATGAAAAGGAAAATGATGAAAAAGAACAAGACAATGAACAAGAAGAAGATAAGAAGGAGGTTAATGTTGAGTACTATGAGCCGAAACCCGGGGATTTTGTGGTTGGTGTTGTTGTTTCTGGTAATGAAAACAAGCTTGATGTGAATGTTGGGGCAGACTTACTAGGTACAATGTTAACCAAGGAAGTGCTTCCTTTGAATGGTAAAGAAATGGAGAATTTGTTATGTGATATGAATAGGGATGCAGAGGCTTTTACTGTTCGAGGGAAGATGGGAATTGTAAAGAATGATGAAGTAATGGGTGGAGTATCAGTGCCTGGAAGGCCTATTGTAGAGACTGGAACCGTTTTGTTTGCCGAGGTTTTAGGTAGAACACTTAGTGGTAGGCCATTGCTTTCTACTAGAAGACTCTTTCGCCGGATTGCTTGGCGTCGAGTGAGGCAGGTTTTTATCATTCTTTCATTCCTTTTTATCGTCATCCTTGTCTAGTTTATAGTACATATTCCATGTTTGCCACTTCCGTGTCGAATTTATCAATTGGATTAAGTAGTTCTAATTCTAATGACTAGTTGGAAGAGTTTATTATTTAGAAAACCGTTGCAAATATGCACATGAAACCATATTTGTTCTCCATTTATTTGCAACAGCGAATCAGTTCTTCAATGATGATTAATGCCATCGATTCTTGCCACGTTTCGATAACGCTTATCATTTAAGTGGTTATGTGTAAACTATTTCTATAACAAAAGATAAAATAAAGTCTAATTGTTTTCTTTTAAGATATAAAGTGTTTTTATAAGCTTTTTTGTAGAACTTACTGAAATAAGCTGAAAATAATCTAAATTTTGTAAAGTCAAATAACATTTCTCATGTTGGTGAGGTTTTAATCTTCTGTTCTTAATGTTTGGGGCAGATACAACAGCTCAATGAACCTATTGAGGTTAGAATTACAGAGTGGAATACTGCCGGCTTGATAACAATGATTGAGGTCTGTTCATTGACTTTAAATTTATGCCCACGTAGCATTTGAGTATTGCTAATTTGTTCGTGAATTTGGATGTGCAGGGTTTGCGAGCTTTCCTATCTAAAACTGAGCTTATGACAAGAGTAAATAGCTTTACTGACTTAAGAGAAAATGTAAGTTGCATTGCAGTTTTGGAACTTTCTTTTTGCCGCCAAGGAAATGAAACGTTTTTTCTTAACAGGATAGTTACTTATCTTATAAGCTCTTGTGAATACTTGATTATAATTATGCAGGTGGGGCGCCGAATGTATGTAGAAATTACTCAAATAGATGAAGCTAAAAACAGTTTGGTACTTAGTGAAAAACAAGCTTGGGTTAGTACTCAAATTTGTGTCTATTTTGTATTTTTCGTTGGTTTCTTGCATCAATGTTCCAATCGTTTCTAAGTATTGATATCTCTTATATATCTTTTGAAATTTCTTTTGTTCAAATTGATGTGCAGGAAAAGCTATATCTTCGTGAAGGGACAGTTATAGACGGAACAGTAAAAAAGATCTATCCGTATGGAGCACTGATTAGGATAGGAAAAAGTGACAGATAGTGAGTTTTCATCTACAAGATTTCTATACCAGCTGAATTTTAATTGTGTTTTGGATTAAACCTGTTTATTTTATCAACCTGACATTGCAAATGTACCTGTTGGGTTCCTTTCAGTGGATTGCTGCATGTTTCTAATATCACTCAAGCTGAAGTTACTTCTGTCAGCGACATACTTTCCGTTAAAGAGGAGGTTAAGGTTCTTGTTTTGAAGTCAATGTTCCCCGATAAAATTTCTCTAAGGTAATGAATGTTGACTTTACCTTCCTTTTTGTTTATGGTGGAAAACCAAAACTTGTTTTGTTAGGTGAGAACATGCTGCTGATGGGAAGTAATTTTTCTTACCATGCAGCACTGCAGCCCTTGAAAGTGAACCTGGCCTTTTTCTTTGGAATAAAGAGGTATTTATTTATTTGTCTGTTCTATTTCTATCAGAGCCGTCTTAAGTTTTCGGAAGCACTGTGTATATGTTAACCACGGTTATGTGCCCAATTTTGTCATGGTTTAACTATGGAAAATATTTTATGAGACCCTTTTTAACCACTATTTAAACGTGTCAAAATTTGGGACTTGCGCAGTAACCCGCCTTGCACGCTCTCAAAGACGGCTCTGATTCCTATTAAATTTTCGTGTATGGTTTTAGTTGTATTGCGCGTAGTAATTTCTTGTTAATTTTTTGGCCGTACAAAAGAGAGTATTTCTGGAAGCTGATATGATGGCAGAGAAATATAAGCAGAAGCTACCTTCTCCTTATGTCGCTACAAGAGGACCTTTGCCAACTAGTGATTTACCCTTTGAAAATGAAGCACTTTATGCAAACTGGATGTGGTTTAAGTTTGAAAAATGATGATGAAACAAGCTTTAACAGAAGCATGAAAGATTATTATTCACTCAGAGAAGCTCAATTGAAAGAATCTGATATTGCATGGAACACTTGTTCCACAACAGGCCTGCATTTTCTGAAGAAAACATGAAGAGCCTCCTCGACCTCGACTGGAGAAAGATTTTGATACTGTCATTGTTCGCATACGTTGTTTGGGCACGGAACAAGAGCGTGTCGTGAAGTAAACGGTGAAAATAATCACGGTATCACCTTTAATTTTCAATCTTGTCGACAAAAAAAGGTTTACTTTGATTTTTTTCTTCATTTTTTTGAGTTTCTCCCCCCTCCTTTTATGGTGTCATATTATCGATAGATTCATAAGTTGGATGTAAATTTTGAAGGCAAACTATAGTAGTTTAATTTTGATTTTTTTGTCACAGTGAAAGTTTCTTACATTTATCATCTAATTATGTGTTGACACTTTTGAACTTTTAAGTCACAGGATTCATTAAATGATGCTATAACATATTTTGAATCAATCTGTATACTCAAATTTTGATTTGATCTTTTTCCCTGGTTCAATATTTCCTTGCTTTTTAGTTTTTATTATGAATTTAGAATTTGTAGCGAATATGAATCGGAGGTAATTGTCTCTTTTTAGTTTTGTCTCTTTTACAAGACTTGAGAGATTAGTCTCTACAATTACACGCAAAGGATACGGTTTATACTAAAAAAAAGTTCTAGGTGAAGTTTGAAATTGAAGCTTCTATCTCTTTTCTGTTGGAAATAATTTATATTTTAGGATGTCTTGTTCACTAAGTCTGTTAGAGGGTATTTTAATATTTTATTATATCCTAATATTTGTGTATAAATAGCCTAATAGTAGGTAGGTCAATGTATACATTACTTCTTATTTGTAGCTGTCATTTAGTATATTTCTTTTGTTTTTCATCTCTCCTTTGTGCACCAACAATTGGTATCAGAGTTTCAGTTCGAAATCCACAAGAAAACACGGAAAACACGAGTGAACAATGAGGTGTTGTGTGATTAAGAATCACATTTTCTGGTTCTGTGGAATTTGAAAAACACTGTGTGTTAGTGAGTTTTGAGTGAATTGCACAAGGTTGAAGATGAACGGAAACAATGATATCAGTTTCAAGCTTCCAGTGTTTGATGGCAAAAACTGGAATCGTTGGAAGATCTAGATGTGTGTGTTGTTCGATTCTCAAGATGTGTTGGATCTTGTCACTGATGACTATGCTTCATTAGCAGCAGACGCGACAGAGGCATAAAAGACAACGCAGAAGGCGATAAGGAAGAAAGATTGAAAGCATTATTCTACATCCATCAGTGTGTAGATGCAAATGTGTTTGAGAAGATTGCTGACTCTGAAACAACAAAGGTCGCGTGGGACACACTGGTCAAATGTTACGGTGATGTCCCTGAGAAAGCAATATGAGAATCTCAACATGAAGGACAACGAGAAGGTTTCTGAGTACATCTCTATAGTGATTCTGATCACTAATGAATGAAAGCTTGTGGAGAAACCATTTCTGAACAAGTAATCATAGATAAGGTATTGAGATCTTTAACTTCTCAGTTTGATTACATTGTGGTAGCAGTTGAACATTCCAAAGATCTAAGCACCATGAGAGTTGAAGAGCTGCAAAGTAGTCTAGAGGCGCATGAGTTGTGTGTGACTGAGAAAACTTCTGAGAGGGAAGTAGAGCAGCAGGCTCTGAAAGCAACTTCTAGTAAGAAGTATCAGAAGCAGACTTGGTCAGAAGCCAGAAAGAAAACTAATGGTGGTCAGAGGTCAGAAGCTTCAACCTTTGATATGCTGAAGAATGTCCAGAAGGAAAATGAGAAGTCTGACAAGAAGAATGTTCAGTGTTACTGTTGCAAGAACTTTGGTCACTATGCCAAAGATTGCTGGTCAAATAAAGAAAGGAAGTCAAACGAAGCAAATATAGCCAGAGGAGAGTCTGATGATGAACCTATGCTATTGTTGGCTTCTGAATCTGATGATATGAATTCATCAGAATGGTGGTATATGAACACAGGGTGTTCAAACCATCTTACTGGAAATAAGAAATGGTTGATTGATTTTGACTCTGGGAAGAGTACAAAGATCAGATGTACTGATGATAAATATCTCAATGCAAAAGGTATGGGAAATATCAGAGTCATTCTAAACAATAGGAAAACTACAGTGATCCAGAATGTGTGGTATGTACCTGGCATGAAAAACAATCTGATGAGTGTGAGACAACTAATTGAGAAAGGTTTTTCAGTTATCATGAAGGACAATCTTCTGAAGTTGGATGACTATAATCAGAAGCTGACTATGGAGTCAGAACAAGGAAGAAATAGAAAATTCAAGGTGAATGTTAGAACTGCAGACTTTGGATGTCTTAGTGCAACAAGTGATGTCAAGGAGAGTGAGCTGTGGCACAAAAGATTTGGTCATCTGAATTTCAGAAGCTTAGGGAATTTGAAATCGAAGAAGCTGGTACATGGAATTCCTACAATCAAGAAGCCTAAGAAGTCATGCAAGGTGTGCATGGAAGGGAAGCAACCAAGATTTCCATTTGCGCCAGAAGTAGCTCCAAGAGCAAAGTGTGCTTTGAGAGTAGTGCATTCAGATGTTTGTGGCCCATTTCCAGTAGCATCGATTGGAGGAAATAAATATTTTATGTTATTTGTTGATGAGTTCACCAGAATGACATGTGTATCTCTCATAAAGTTCAAACACGAGGTGTTTGTTGAATTCAAGATGTTCAGATTGAAGGTTGAGAATCATAGTGGTCAGACTCTGAAGATTCTTAGAACTGATGGTGATGGTGAGTATAACTCCAGAGTTCAGAAGGTTCTGTGAGGAGAATGAAATTGATCATGAGGTTACTGCTCCCTATACTCCTCAACACAATGGTCTTGCTGAAAGAAGAAATCATACTTTGCTTGATATGGTGAGAAGCATGCTGAAAGAGAAGAAGCTTCCTCATACTTTGTGGAGAGAAGCTGTTTCCATTGCATGTTATGTGCTCAACAGATGTCCAACGAAGAAGCTGAAGGAAATAGTTCCTATTCAGAAGTGGACTGGAGAAAAGCAAAGTGTTAGTCATCTAAAGGTGTTTGGTTCTGTATGTTACAAACATGTCCCAGAAGCCAGAAGACAAAAGTTGGATGATAGAAGTAAAGTAATGTTACTGGTGGGGTACCACAATATAAGTTCTTACAAACTTTATTGTCCAGAAACTAACAAAGTTGAGTTCAGCAGAGACGTCATTGTAAAAGAATCAGAAATTTGGAATTGGGAAAAGTTTCGTTCTAACTCTGATGAGAGAACTTCTGAAGAAAAGTCAGAAACACGTGTTTATGAAGCTGGTAAAGATTATGACTCTGACTTCGATGGTGATTCAGACTCTGGGAATTTTCCAGACTCTGAAGACAGTCACGGTTCTGGAGAAAGTCCAATTTCTGAAGCAAGAGATTCTGAAGGGGGAAATTCTGGTGTCCGAAGTTCTGAAGTTCAAGTTCAGAGACAACAAAGAGTCAGAAGCATTCCAAGAAGATTTACAGAGTTTGACATGCCGCAAGACACCGAAGTAGACTCTGAAGGAGAAGTTATTCAGTGTGTAATGTTAGTAGACTCTGAACCCGTGAGTACGGAAGAGGCTCTTAAGCAACAAGTCTGGTTGCAGACCATGAAAGAGGAACGTGATGCTATAGATAAAAACAAGACTTGGAAGCTGACATAACTTCCAAAAGGCAAGAAAGCCATCAACGTCAGATGGGTTTTCAAGCAAAAGCTAAAGCCAGATGGATCAATTGAAAAACATAAAGCAAGATTAGTAGCAAGAGATTTTCTACAGAAGCCTGGGCTGGATTACTCTGAAGTATTTGCACCTCTAGCGAGACATGAAACAATCAGACTAGTGATTGCAATAGCTGCTAACAGAAATTAGCCTCTGATGCATTTAGATGTAAAATATGCATTTCTAAATGGTCAATTACAAGAAGAGGTATACGTGTCACAACCTCATTGATTTAAGAAAAAGAATCAAGAAGTGGTGGTGTTCAGATTACACAAAGCCTTGTATGGATTGAAGCAAGCGCCCAAAGCCTGGAATCTGAAGGTTGACTCATTTTTCAAGGAACAAGGGTTTCAGAAGTGTGAGATTGAGTATGATGTTTATGTTCAGCGTATTATGTTTGTATGTTGATGACATATTGTTAACAGGAAGTTTTGCACAAGAGATAGCTAAGTTCAAGAAGGATCTGATGAATGAGTTTGAGATGACAGATCTTGGAAAAATGAGTTACTTTCTAGGGATGTAGTTTATGTACTCTGAGAAAGGAATCATTTTGCATCAGATAAAGTATGAACTTGAGCTTCTGAAGAGATTTAAGCTGGAGAATTACAAAACTGCTATCACACCTGCTGATACGAATCAGAAGTTGGACTCTGATTCTGATGGAGAGGATGTGGATGCTACAACCTTCAAATAGTTGGTTGGTTCTCTGAGGTATTTGTGCAATACCAGACCTGATATTTGCTATGCAGTTGGAATGATTAGTAGATTTATGAGTAAACCAAAGTGGTCTCATCACCAAGCTGCTGTCAGGATTCTGAGGTATGTGAAGGGAACTCTGAAGTATGGAATGTTATTTCCTTTTGGAAGAAAGACCGAATCAGAACTTCTGAGTTATTCAGACTCTGATTGGTGCAGAGACAAAGTTGACAAAATAAGTACTCCTGAGTACTTATTCAAATTTCTGCCAGGTCCTATTTCTCGGTGTTCCAAGAAGTAACATGTTGTTGCGCTGTCAACTCGTGAAGCTGAATATATTGCAGGCGCTCTGACTGCATGTCAGGTTGTGTGTATTCTGAACTTACTGCAAGATCTGAAGATCGAGGTAAACAAGCCGCTAAAGTTGATGATTGATAACAAGTCTGCAATCAATCTTGCCAAAAACTCTGTGCTGCATGGAAAAAACAAGCATATTGAGACCAAGTATCA